AAATGTCATCAAAGAACACAAGCAGGAACTTCCTCAAAAACTCCTTCAAAATTGAGTTCATAATCCCTTGGAATGTTGCTGGTGCGTTAGTGAGGCCAAAGGGCATCACTAAATATTCAAAATGCCCCGCATGAGTCTTAAAAGTAGTCTTATACACCTCAGTCGGGTCCATTCTCACTTGATTATATCCTTACCTCAATTTTCAAAAAAATGCTAAAACCAGCCAATTCATCCAACAGATCATCCACTAAGGGAATTAGAAACTTGTTCTTAACTGTATGTTTGTTAAGATCCCTGTAATCCACACATAGCCTCCATGACCCATTCTTCTTCCCCATTAAAACCACTGGGCTTGCAAAAGGACTATTACTATTTTGAATTATACCAGCTACTAAGTATTCCTGAACCAATTTGTCAATCTCATCTTTTTGCTGTTTAGCATACCTGTAGGGTCTCTTACTAATTGGCCTAACTCCTGGGACTAAAGGAATCTAATGGTCATGACTTGGTCTACTAGGAGGTAAAAAGTCACTAGGTTCCTAAAATAGGTCAGCAAACTCCTCCAATAATTTGGCAATAGTAGGAGGGACTTCAGCAACAGCAGCCTGAGTAGTAAGAGAATTTAGAAGACCACCTTGGCCATCACACACTTGTAAAAATGACAAATGAACACCAGTTGCCATAGCTTTTCCCAATTATTGTTTCTTAACTATTTTCAATCCCGAAGAGGCTCCTCTCAATACATGTCTCTTTCCCTGAACATAAAACTCCATCTGCAACTTATTAAAATTCCATACAATATCACCCAACGACACTAGCCATTCGACCCCTAAGACCAAATCACAGCACCCCAATGGAATGAGCAACATATCAGAAGTGAATTTGGTTTGTTGGATTGTCCACTGAAATCCTCTAACTACTGCAGAAACATTTATCTTAGTTCCATCTGCAACAACCACACTCAAGGAATCAAAAGCATCAATCCTGCAACCCAACCTTTTAGCTACCTCAATGTCCAAAAAATTGTGGGTACTGCCACTGTCAATCAGAACATGGAGAGGCTTCTTTTTGTGGTAACCGGTCACACGCATGGTTTGGAAATTGGCAATTCCCATGAGGGCATGGACAGAAATTTGGGGATCTGTAGAATTAGGTCCCATGGAGTTTTCCAGCAGCATTTCTTCCTCCTCAATATCTTGTAACTCATCCACTTCCATAACATGCAACTGCAGTTTTTTATGGCTTAATCCATGCTCGGGAGTAAAGGGTTCATCACAGAAATAACATAACCATTTTGCCCTTCTTTCACTCATATAAGCAGGGGTTAAAGTTTTAGAGGTCTGTTGTTTTGATTTGAATGTATCTTGAATCTTGGAGGTAGTCTTAGAGGGTGTGGGCAATAATGGTGGCTTGGAAGAAGCCTCGAATTTAGATGGTTTAGTCCAAGATTTAACCACAGATCCACTTACAGTTGCTGCCTCCTGCATTTTCGCTAATGTGAAAGCGCGTCTCACCGAATTTGGCTGAAACATCCTAACAAGCATTTGAACTTCTTGTTTAAGTCCCCCCAAAAAACAACTCAGCCTGTGCTCCTCATTCAAATCCAAACGAGATACAATAGCATCAAAGGCTTCATGATACTCCACTACCGATCCTTTTTGTCTTAATTGCATCAATTCTGCCATAGGATCATCACATACTTCTCCAAATCTTTCAATCAAAATTCTGGTGTATTCTGACCAAGGAGGTAAGTTTTGCAATCCCACTGATTTCACATAAGAACTATGCCATTGAAGAGCTTTCCCCTCAAAATGTACTACCGCCAATCTTACCTTAAACTCGTCAGGAGTATTATCAATAGAAAAAAATGTATCACATTGAATTAACCATTGTTTAACGTCCTCACCTGAAAAACGAGGGAAGTCGATTCTAGCGAGACATGTTCCACAAGAATAGGCTCGACTTGGGTTGGCCCCCGCTGCTGAATGATGTGCGACCAAATTGTTGTTATGAAGAAGCTCTTGTATTTTCTGCGTCATCGATAGGGTCAATGACTGCGTCAATGACTCTTGAAGAGTTTTCTGCATCGACGTTGCCATTTCCATCAATCTTGCATCAATCTTGGAACCAATACGATTTTCCACGCGATCCTCAATTTCCCGTTCAAGAACTCGATTTCGTGTAGCATCCGCCATGGTTGGGCACGCTGGAAGGTTACAGGCTGATACCACTTGTTATGGTAATTCTAGGATGGGAATCGAAGAATTACAGAGACAGATTAGGGAGGCCAAAGAAGAAAAGCATTCGAATCTTATTAGAGAGAATTGGAGGTTCAAGAGTGTTATTAGTGTGAAAAACACTTTTCCAAAACCATCTTAATATTCAAGTCATAGCAATGTTTCATCACGTTTTTGGACAATTTTTTTATGGCCTACTATCTCATCCATCGCATGCCTTCCTCTATCCTAAATGACATTGTTCCCTAGTTTGTTGTCTTCCCTCATACACTTCCTCCCTGTGTCTTCAACTCCACACACTTTGTTCACAGTGTCTCTCCTAGACTTGACAAAATCTCCAATTGAGCCATAAACATATCTTCCTCGGTTACATTAGGTCACTTGAAGGTTATTTTCGTTTCCCTCCTACTCTTAACATTTTTTATTTCAGTTGATGACTCATTTTTTAAGTATGTCCCTTGCATTGAGTTTGTCCCTCTTTCCAAAGTATGGCCCCATGACACAACTGGTGCCCCTTCTCTGGAACCTCTTCACTCTATATCTTTGGATAACTCATTTCAACACCAGAATGTCCCTCCCAAGGCTACCACAATTAAACAATCTCTTTAAACATATCAACGACGCCAACGTAATAATGTTGCATATGCACTTGCACCTAATGATGTCGCAAGAGAAGTCATGCCAGACTCTTCCCCGATGCCAATTCTTTTACCAGATTTGAGCTTGCCTCCTAACATTGACCTACCCATTGTTATAAGAAAAGGTACTCGATCTACTCATAATCCCTCTCCTCACTACATTGCATGAGTTGCCCTTCTCCTTTGCATCATACTTGCCTTACTTCTTTTTCCTTTGTAGACAACTCCCTAGCTGAAGCATTATCTCATTCCTAATGAAGGCAAGTAATGATTCCACCTAACAAATCTCCTATTGGGTGTCACTGCTTATCCTCAAAATTGGTCCTGGTAGCAAAATACATCGCTTCAAAGCTTAACTAAAGGCAAAAGGGTATACATGGGTGTTTGGACAGGACCACACTAACACTTTCTTCTCAATGGCCAAAACGGATTCTACTCAACTTTTATTTCCCATGGATGCCATTAACCATTGGTTTGACTTTTAGCTTTATATCAAAAATGTTTTTCTGCATGGCGATCTTGAAAGGCCTCGTCTATGAAGATAAAAAAAATTGCTTAGATAGTTGGTTACACATATGTTTACTAGGCTGGTTCACTGAGTGATAGGTGTGTATTGTGTGTTGTGTGTTGGTTGGAGGAAATCTAATAATAATATCATGGAAGAGTAAAAGAAAAAATGTCATAGGAAGAACTAATGCAAAGGCAAAATACAAGACCGTAATATGAGGTCATATGACTGAAACAATTAGTTAGAGGACTAAGTTTTAAAGAGTCTACACAAATGACACTTATGTGCGATAATCAATCTTGCTCGCATATTGCATCTAATCTTCATGAGAAGACCATAAATACTGAGGTCAATTGTCAACAGGGAGAAGATTGAGTTTGGAGAAATTACGACTTCCTTCATCAACTCTAGTGGTCAGTTGCCAAATGTTCTTACTAAATCCTTGAGGGATTCACGAATTAGTTATACATGTAACAAACTAGGTGCATATGATTTATATGCCCCATCTAGAGGGGGAGGGTTGAGAATCATAATGTAATACTGATTGGTAACTATAGAAATACTAGTGACACTCTTGTTAATACTTTCTCTACTATTGGTTGAAAATCACAAATTTAGATGTGTCCTACTACTAAATCAGAAGAGAAACTCATTAAATGAGATATAAGACCCACAAAAGTGGTGATATTCATTAAGTTTCAGCTGATAATCGTGTTACAAAAATTGTATCAAAGAGAGTGCCACTAGCATTCCTCTTAGTAATTCTTATATATAGTTTATAGGCACATATCATCTTATTTAGGGGAAACAGAGTATGCCCTCTTCATATGTATTCAATGAATCAAGCTCATATAAACATATCTTTGTGATATCATTTAAGGATCTGTTTAGATACACTTCTCCATAAGCACTTCTAGGACAACAATATAGGATTAAAAAAATGAAATAAATTTCTCCAAAAGCTAAAATAAGCTTATGCATAAACTATTTTGTAGAAACACTCTCCTATTAGCTTGTCCAAAATATTATTTTTGACTTATACATAATTTAGTTTTAACTTTCAAAAAAACTTATCTTGATTTTCCTTCCTATTTTTCTCTCCTAGAAGTACTTTCAAAGAAGTTTATCCAAACAGACCCTAAAAACATTGTTTCAGCATCTTGTATGTCTCTGTTTTCTCTCTCTTAACAGGGATGATAACATTAATGTTACCAGTTTATTTATTTAAAAAGTTTATGGCACTCATAATAATTAGTTTAATGGCAATTAAAATTGCTATTAATAGAAAAAAATAAATAAATAAAAGTATATCAATACAATAGTTTGACACCAAGTTTAATCTTGAATGTGAAGCTTTAATTGAACTGGACCCAGATGAGTCAAAGCTATTAGACAGGCTAGCTATCCAGTTTTGGTTGGTTTTCAGATGCAGCAATAGTTAAAAATGATGCATAGACTTAGCAGTAGGAGATGGGTGCTGAAATGAATTTCTACAACGTGGTTGCCAAAAGAAATTATTGAAACATGTTACATATTATAAGATCCAAGACATGGAGATCAAAATAAATTATATATAAGGACGAAACATTATCATAATTCATTACTAAGAATACTGACCTTCACTGCATGTACCATCAGCATGTGGAAGCAAGCATAGCGACTCCTGAGAGGTGCAATAGCAGTTGGAGGTTTTAAACCATGCAATAAATCAATTAGCTCAACGTATCGAGCAGAAGAAAAGCATGGTTGCTCCTGCATCATTCAGCAACAATACTGAGATAGATAGATAAATAGATAGATAACAAAAATTTGCTCAAAGTGTTGTATGCTACAAGAGAGAAAATGAGACAAAAAAGAGACATAAATGCAGACCTGCAAAATTTTGCTCAAAGTGTTGTATGCTTCGTGATGAACACTCTCGTTAGTTGCCTACAAAAACCAAGCATCCATGATATTCTTTTTACAAAATTATATAGGTTAGTCAAATGAATAAAAGAGAAGCATACAAACAAAAATGTATTGCTCGACCTTCGAGAAATACCTGAAATGAATGTATAGTTAAATTATAAATTATCTCAATGAGATTATCCTTGGCTCCTTGAACAAGACAAGATGCTATTTCCAATATCAGACACCTGAAGAACAAAGTGACTTTGACTTGTCATCAATTATATAATAACACAAGAAAATGAAAGACAGTAGCTAGTTTTCAGTGCCTATGGTTATTAGGTTCTCCAATTCAAATTGGGAAAGGTATTATTGCTCAGAATGATGTCAAAGCTCAGCCATGTCTAAATCAATCAATACATAAGAAGGTTGGCTTTTGAACAAGATTAACAAATGAACAAGTCTCAATTAATTCTATCCAGCTATATAAACACAAATGTTATTAATGTCATGAAACAAAGCACTAAGATTTAAACAGTTGGGTGTAGGCACATGAATGATTTTATCAAATCTCTTAACTTGCCTCCTCGTGTCATAGTCCTTTAAGTGTGAAAGATGGCCAATGCAGCAACCTATTTTTATCAAAACTTTTAAGTTTTATTTATAAGACTGCAGAAGTTGAGGATCAAACTGTTGACCACTTAACCAAGTTGGCTTTAATACCATATCAAGAACCAACTCTTAAAATTTTTTGTTAGGTAAGCACATGAACAGTTTCACTTCATCTTCGAGCAATAAACAGCCAAAACCATACAAAAATAGTCTTTAGATTACTAGCTCCAACCAATCACTCAATTATTTTTCTATGCGTGCTAGTAAATGGCATATTTCCATGGTTAAACTTGGTGAAACTGTCTATGCATAATCTTCTATCTCAAACCAGGTACTGCAGTGTAGCTTTAAAAGGAAATAATAAACTTGTGTGATCAGAAAATCAACAAGATGCTGGCTACATTCTTTTAGTGAAGTTATTCTGCAAAAACCTTGGATGAAAAGCCAGCAAGAAATAAAAGGGCTTATTTCTGCTAAGAAACAAAAAGGAAATGCTAGACCAATATAACATGGGATTTGCTAGCTGCCATATCACCACTGACACAATTATTCTGGTATAAATTAATCACCACACCTCTGAGAATATCCCTTCAAGTCACTTTGATCACCATCTACCACTTCAGTGGAGCTTGTCAATATTTCAGCTACACCTTCACAATCTACAACTTGAAACCTCTTAAGCAAAGACACAAAAACCTCTTTGGTTATAGAAGAATCAGTGACAGAAGCCAGGCACCCAATTGCTTCCTGAAAAAGGAAGAGGAAAAAAATATTTCAAATTACTTAAACACTGTCACTAGATTAACATAATGTAAATAATGACCAAGATCAGAGCATTTGAGAACTGCATGTAACAATCACATTAAGTACAAGGAAAGCTCGATGCAACATTACAAGCCACAGCATAATGTTTGGCCTAAAAATCCTCTAAGAATATTTTTAGTGGCCCATGTAGGAAAATTTTCAAATGTTTTAGCAGAGAAAAAATAATTCATACATTGTCTATAACAAAATAGAACATAAGAGAAAGGTATCATTATATATAGACAAATGAGTAACATAAGTGATAGATGCGGAACCTTTAAAAAAGAGCGCTTTTCAGGAGGTGCACTGATAAATAAATCTGACAAAACATAAAGCATCTGATTCGAACAAGACACAAGAGCTTTTATGTTTTTGGCAGCAGCTTTCTTTGAATAAGTAGGCTTCATGCTGAACTCTGCCAAAAAATCATATTCAGCATTGCAATCTTCCACACTCTTTTTAGGGTTAAGTGCAGCTTTGTTCTCATTCACAAGAATCTACACAAAATTCATGAACATTTAGAAGGATAATTAATTAAAAAAATAAACATATAACCACCAAAAGTACAAGTGTCTCCACCCAGTTCATGGAATCATGACCTGTAATGTTATGGAAACATTCTGATGCATGGAAGGATCCTTTTTAAGAAAAGTAATAAGGACATCAGAGAGACGAGTAAAATTTTGGTGAGTATCAGTTGCATGACGACAAAAGCTAGGAAGCAATCCCCACAGTTCATGAGCGCAAGCCAGCAAATCCTGACTAATCCCTGACTTTTTGACTGAAAGATGGAAAATTTTGATCAACAACTTGAACAAAATAGTGATTGTGTCAGAATAAAAATTACATGGACAACAGAAAAAAAATTTAAAATTTTACCCAAAGGTCCTAAACTTTACATGAAAGCCTGTTTTCCACTTTTTTAAGGTTAGATCAGTTCGAGTAATATCATGATGCATGACAAAATGAATCAATCACAATTATCTGTTGGGCTGCTGCTCTACAATTGCAAAGACTAAAGAGTACTTCTCACATTATTGGGCAAGAGAACCATTCACAATATTGTAGCATGAGTACTATTCATGCTATTGTAACATAGTTGTTTATGTTTTCATTATTGTTTCACTATCTTTTGCTACCTTAATGGCTTGGTTAATTTATTTTATGAGCTTGATTACATTTATTTTAAGGGACTGAATTTTTTTAAGCAATTAAATTAGGGTTTCCATCCTACACACGAGGAGTTCAAATTTTGTTAATAATAGAAAGATTTTGTCTATTTACCAGGTTGTTGACCAGAAGACCAGCAACTATCGGCTGTGTACCAGATCCCCACCATTTATTTACTTTCCCAATTTTTCATGTCTTGAGGGTTATAGACTTGGTCAGACCTTTAATCAAACAGCATAGCATACGCATGTACAAATAGTAGATCATAATATATGTTATGCACTGGGTTGAATTTGATCTCTCCTCATATATATATATATATATATATATGGATGGGGATCAAGTTACTTCATTCAATAACTTAAGATATATGTTAAATTTTAACGATCGAATCAATAAATTTAAAGTTCTTATTGTATAGATCTAATCTACAATATTTTGCAAAGTTTGAAAACTATTTGATATTTCATTTCTATAAATTCAACTTAATGTCAACCCCAGAAAAGGTTAAGATAGCCTCAAAAACAAGGGAAAGAAACAATGGGAACACTATATATAGAAAAAAAAATCAAAATTATGTCAAAATCAATTTCACAAAAATCAAGACACCTAAGTGGAAAATAAATATTGAAAATACCAGTTGTCCTTGAACTAGAAACAACCAATGGATGAATATTGGAAGATTTATAAAAACCATGAAATTGCAAGAGGGAACTAATGCTTTATTGCTTTTGACATGAGAGCGTAGTATGATCTCTACCAAAATGTATTAAAACTTAAATGGTGACATCACCATAACCATAATGATGAGAATTTACTTCATTCACAGATTAAATACTTGTAGATTTCCTGGTCTTAACTAAAAAGGGGAAAATAAATACTTTCAGTTGATGCAACTTCCCAACCATATACATCCCAAAACTAAAATCCAGCATATCTGTTTTATTATCAGCCCAGGAGCATATCCATGATCCATTCCACATCATTTCCATGATCATAAGCTTCTAGAGCAGCAAGTAAATAAAAAATGTGGGAAAACTTGAAAGTATTGAAGCCAAAGATGGTTACTGTACAAAAGCAAATTTAATTGTCCTATGGATATATATCTTCTGTTCACATGATGCAATGCATAAACATGTACTGAGACACATTGTTTTCAGTTATATAAAGCCCAATTTTTATAAATCTTAAGCTTGGTGAGACAGCACCCAGTAGCAAATCATACAAGCCTCATCCATCTCTAAGCCAAAAGAAAAGGAAAAAGGGATACAAAACCATGCTCAAAGCAATACAAGTGGCAAAGGTAGAAAAAGAATAGTCAGAAGAAAATCACTCAAGTTTCCTCCACTTCTAAGCCACAAGAAAAGGAAAAGGGGAAAATGAAAAACATGCTCAAACTCAAAGTAATGCAAGTTGCAAACAAAGATGAGGATTGTATGATTTTGTAGATAGTAAGTAGATACACATGTAGTAAATATACCTTTTCGACTAGCCTTCTTAAAAGACTTGGCAAGAGGCATGATATGCTCCATGTAGTATGCAAGCGATGCACCAGTAACATAGCGCTTTAAGATAGATGCTAACCAAATATTTGAATAAGTAAAGCTGTTTTCATTAAGAGATATTGGTACAAGTGTAAGGAATCTCTCTATCCCCATAGCATAAACAGCAGACCCAATGCATTTCTGAAGCTGCATAAATTTGAAAAACAGATAAACCAGCAATCAGTAGAGTAGCTTGGGTTTAAATTATACCACAACAAAAAAAAAAGTGATAGTAGAGTACTAGTAGTAAGTAGTAATCAATGTTTTATAGTGTAGCAGACTGAAGCTGATTATTCAATCAGTGAAGAGAGAGGACACAAGCATGGCGGTTCAACTAGGGTTGAGCAGTGGATTAACTGGCATTCAGAATATGCCTACAATGTTATTAAAATATAGTATGTAGAAGATAAATAAACAAGATAAGCATAAAAAATTAAATCAAGTATATAGGAAACAATTCATATATTATGAAATTTATTTGCATGAACAATTCATTTTTATTAGGCTTAATTTAACTTTCCGTCCCAAGAGTATCACCAATGTGCATTTTTGGTTCCCTCATTTTTAATTAGGCTAATGCTAATGCTAATTTAGTCCCATAACTTTTTCCCATGTAAAAATTGGGTTCCTCCATCAGTGTGCTGACAATTTTGACGTAGTAGCCTGTTAGAGATGAGTCAGATGACATGAGATTAACATGCTAACATGACATGGTCACCTGAATCAGATGCTAACATGCCATCGACATGTTGATGTAGCACAAACCATGATACATTAGGGATGAAAAGTGAAATTAAACTAAGAATCAATAACATTACTCTGCCAAACAAAATCCCAGTATTACAGACTTATTGAATTTTTTTACCTTTTGATAGTAGTTTTGTAACCAAACATCCAAATCTGATTAATATTATTTAATTAGTAAAGCTAATTTAATTATTACTATAGTTAGATTTCTTTTATTGGGAAATTGTACCATCTTTTTTGCAACACAATTATTGTGAATAAATGTGTTGATCTTTTTATAATGTCATCAGTGATACTTTAAGGGCAAAATGTGGAATTAAGATTATTGTGAATAAATGTGTACACATTAGTGCTGTATCAGCACGCTAGTGCCACGACATCTCTAGTCAGCCACATCAGCAAAATTTGTTAAGAAAATGTCATGAAACTGACGAAGGGACCCAATTGTCACAAGGGAAAATTTTCTGGAACCCAATTAGTGCAATTGCAAATGGAGAGACCAAAATTGTACAATCATGATACTTTAAGGACAAAATGTGGAATTAAGATTTTTTATAATCTTTAAATTAAATGTGTAAAAAACAAAGGTAGCACTTACATGATAAACAAATTTATTGCATATTATTAATATATGCAACAACACTAGAGTATCTTAATTAAAAGTAGCATTTTTAATCTAAGCAATAAATTAATAAGTCAGCAATATAAGACATTGCCTATTTCAACAAGGAAAAAAGTATTTAAAAATTTAATATAACAAAAAAGACATCATGAAACTGAAAACTAAAAAGTTTATCCTCAATTCCTCATTAAGTGTTCCAGTATAAGAGGCTCCTCAGTACTGATATATCCTGCTTTTGACAAGCATCCCAAGTACCTTACCAACAATTTAGCCGGCCAGAGATCATAATTGCAAAATATTTACTTAAGTTATCTATAGCCAATTGTTAATGACTTAAATGTTCCTTGTCAATAAAGAAAATATTTAACACATTGACTTCAGAAATCGAACTCTTCACAGAAATTTAACAAAATGAATCAAAAGATGAGATGGTTAAGATGGGGAAACCAATCTAACAAAAATTTAGATCAAAGTGGAAACAGCCAAAGAATCTTTCATGGGTACTTACATGATCATTATAAACCTTGCCCCCAGAAATTTGAGTCATCAAGTCAGCAAGTTTAAGCACGATATTCCTCATAAACACAAATGAGAATTCTCCTATAACAATAAAGGATTACAAGAGAATAAGATATAGACAAAACATAGTTTTATAACTATCATTTTAAAACAAGAAATTTTCTTGTTGATAAAGAAGGAAGTGCAATAACAGAGAATAAGATATTAACTCCTCTCAAAGTAGCAAAGAACAAAAGACAAAAAGGATGTAAAAACAATCAAGCACTTCAATCCCTCAGATCAATTAATCAAATTTGAAGAGTCAACACCATATTTTATTTTTATTTTTGACAAAATATAACAGTAATAAGATAGAAAAGAGGAAAAGTATATTGAAGGTGGATATGCTATCTATCTAGAAAAAGGAAATAAATAATAATATTGAGCCAAGTTTGATAATGCAACAAAGTTGTGAAATCTCTCTGCATGTCAACTCTTTTAAAACATGTTCTGAACACCAAAGATTCAGACCACAGACACAACCCTATATATATATCATAACATCTAAAAGCAAAAAGAATGCAACTGACGGCATATCTTTTTGTTCAAACTAAATACAGTAGAGAACAGCAAAAAACTGCACAATGCCAATAATATTTAAGGTGTGTTGGATTATGTTTGTGTGTTTCAGTTTTTAAAAGTTATTCTATACACTAACTTTCAAAATCTGATTTTTACAGAGTAGAAGTGAGAAAAGAAGATGTAAAAGTGCAAGGAAGAACATGAGTAATAAAAGTAAAAATAAGAAAACCAAAACTTAAAGATGTTCTGTTTATTTTATTAAAAAAAAAAAACTAAATTGAGAGATTAGTTTGGAAAACAGTTTTTAAAAACTACTCTTATCAAACAAGTTTTCTTGTGTTTTTGTTTTTAAAAAAAGAAAACACTTTTCAAAAACAGGAATCAAACACACCCTTAGTCTCCTAATTCCTTCCAAACCTTGAACAAATCATGAAACTTCCCAGCAAATGGCTCTGACATATTGACTGATTCTACCTTCTACAGGTCAGTTGTTGGAGCAGCTCAATATGCTACAATAACCAGAGCTGAAATAAGCTTTGCTGTTAACAAAGTCAGCCAATTTATGGCTAACCCTTTTGAGAGTCAATGGAATGCAGTGAAAAGGGTTTTAAGGTACCTCAAAGGTACACTATATCATGGTCTACATCTCAAGGCTGCTGAAATTCATCAAACATTTCAGCTTCATGCATTCTGTAATACTGACTGGGCTGCTGACCCTGATGACAGAAGGTCAAACTCTGTACAGGAAATTTTCTTGGACCTAATCTAATCTTGTGGTGTCTAGGAAACAACCTGTGGTTGTCTGATAAAGCACTGAGGCTGAATACAGGAGCCTGGCTCACCCAACTACTTAAGTACTATGGATTGAAACACTTCTTCATGAACTGGGTGTTCCTTTCTCAACTCCCTATCATCTATTGTGACAATCAAAGCACGGTCTCTTTAGCTCACAACCCTGTTCTACAGTACTAAGCATATGGAAATCAATCTACTTTTTGTAAGGGAGAAGGTTCTTGCCAAGCAACTTAGTTTTCAGCACATTCCAGCTCAAGATCAATGGACTAATGCTCTAACCAAACCTCTTGTCATCTGCTAGATTTTTTATTTTTGAGAGACAACTAAAAGTTGTTAGAGCTTTCATCTACTGCTCACCCAACTTAGGTTTGTGAGGGGGGTATGTGAGTGAATTGTAAAGAAAGTAGTTACAAAACTGACTCTCGGGTTGGTTAGTTTCTTATAGCCTTATGATTAGTTTGTTAACACTGTCATGAAGACAGTTTGTACTATAAATAAGTGGCTTGCTCCACTATCACATAATGAGAAAATACACATCCCACATCGACTAAAAATAAGGCAAACAAATAGTATCTAAGTGGAGAACAACCGTTACCTTACAACCCGATTTTGTAGAGTTGAGTTAAGCTCAAAACACACTTTCAAAGGTTTGAAAACAGTTTTCAAAAACTACTCTTATCAAACAAGTTTTCTTGTGTTTTTGTTTTCAAAAGAAGAAAATAGTTTCAAAAACAGGAAACAAACACATCCTTAGTCTCTTAATTCCTTCCAAACCTTGAACACATCATGAAACTTCTCCCCAGCAAAAAGAGTAGACACACTTGACCATGCAAAAATATGTGAAGCCTTTTCCAGTCTGACATTGCACATAATAAGTATAACAAACAAAGAAGGGAAACAGATGTTAAGGTCTGTAAATCTGCAAAATTGCATTTGCTTATGGTGTTTCATTTCATAACAACATCCTGCTTACCCTAGGGTTTCCTAAATCCTAATATATAGTTACATAATTTCCAATTTTTTGTTACTCTATTCTACACCACAGTCATCTTTCCCCTTCACTATGCAACCCAAATTTTAAGTTTACTGATTAAAATAAGAAACCACTACCAAAACACAACACCACTTTTAAGTCCAGACACAAGAACCAGGTATATAAGATATAGCACCTCATTTCTTTATAAACATTAATGGTGGCAATAGATAACCAAAACACTATAAATCAAACAGTAACATTCTAAAGAAGACAATATAACAAAATTCATGTGGACAATAATTCCTGGTTAAAAAAATTATAAAATTTAACATCTTGCAATGCCATACTAACTTGCTTAACAAAATTATGTCATTGTCTCCAACAATCCACAACTAAGACCAATTAGATAGATTAAAAGAAATTTTTAAAAAATCATAATAATATAAGCTAAACTAATATAATGATAGAGTTCCATACCAAGCTCAAGAAATAAAACAGATATGACTGACAAAATGTGCTCGTTTGGAATTCCATCAGTAGCAGAAAGGGCATTCTCAAAAACTGCACATGTTGATTTTATTGCATTAGCTTCCACACATTCCCAACTACTATCATGAAATGTTTGACTCATTTTCAAGCTCAAGGGACCAACATGATGCTTGAGCAGATTACTTAAAATACCACAAGCCTGTGCAGCAGTGTTTCCCTCGAAAGTTAGAAGACCTAAGTTCAACATTGGCAACTTGAATCAGAACAAAATAACATAGGAAAGGGAAAATACAAGGGGGCAAAAGCAGTATCTGTAAAATTAATTAAGTATTTACAACACAAATCCCTCTATTCCCCCACCCCACCCCCCCAAAATAATAATAATAATAATAATAATAATAATAATAATAATAATTAATAAAATTACTAACTAAATAACAGATAACCTTCAAATGCTGCATGTTAGTCATCAAAAGACAAATTAAGGTGGTGTTAAATAAAAGATGGCCTCCAAAACAATGTTCCCACAGTGACATAATTAATCTGCCATTTTATCATTAACCAGTACAAAGTTCTTTAGAAATCAAGAGTAGATTCAAACTAAAGTAAACTTATATTTTGAAGACACAACTTGCTAGAAAAATCCCTGCAGACGGCAGCAGAAAATTATTGCTATGTGGCTATATGGAAAGCATTTTACAGGGGAATTATTGATAGATTCTGATATCTAATTCATTAATGATGTAGTGATATGATCAATTGTAGCTTAATACAGCATTTTTTTTAATCAAAAAATCAGAAGATAGTGCTAAGTACAACCGTATGAAGTGAAATAATTAGAACAAAACCACTAGAATGAATTTAGCACCATTAAATGAATTCTAATATTGATGAACATAGAGAAACCAAGGAACCATACATACCCATCGCAGATCTACAAACTGGAGAGAGATTTTTTATCCACAAGCTTGATTGTCCATTATAAAGTGAGTCCATTGCAACTCTTAATGTTGTTGCTGCAAGAATCACGGTATCCAAGGGGTTCTTATCTCCCAAAGATACAAATGACACAAGAGAAACTACAATGTCCTCTGTCTCTAGCACTATATTTTGGATTCTCAAAGCTTCAAAAATAGCTTCCATAGTTTTAAGAACATGCCTTTTAAGTTCCAAAAACTGACAACCAAATAATTTATGCACATCTGAAAGAACTTTTGGAATAACTTTCGCAGAAAGATATGGAGCAATCAAATTAATTAAATTCAGTACATGCAGAACCTCCAGGTTTTCATGTTTCAAAACATTGACTTCTTTACATTCATTATCAGTCTTCAAAGAATTTAATTTCATTGCTAAAGCACAGCAACTTTTCAGCTCTGACAAAACCAACTTGCTAGCTTCCTTGGAAGCTATGGACGACTTGAGAGACTTGAAAACCTTCTCTACAGATTCTTGAGCACATCTGCGTACCTAAAAGAAACAAATAAACCACAACACAGTTAAAAAAAAAAAATCCATAACATCGGAGTGATTAAATGATTAATAGACATGGACCAATGTCCGGAAATCAAAGGTGATAACCAGATGCTGATTGCATTGCAAGGTAAAACCATCACCAAATCTATGCAAAATTGGATATAAACACTGTTTAAAAATTAAAATTGCAGCACCAAAATTGCAGGAAGATGCAGCTGAGTTCTCTTGAAAGTGATTTCAGAGGTCTCCAAGACCACCATATGACCACCATATCGGGACCGCAATGGTAGTTACAACGGCAATTCAAAACATCGGATATAAATGAATAAAAAATAACAATAATAAACCATAGATTGTTATCACAAAATTGGGAAAGATACAATGGCAGGGTCAATGTCTACAAAATTAAAGGCCATAACCAAATGCATAATACTGCTTCCATGGCAAGGCAAAACTATTATTAAACACGTGCATAATTAGATATAAATTAAGCATTAAAAAACATAGCTCCATAGACAGAAACCTTTGGGCGCTTGCAAATGGAGAACTTGAGCAAAGTTTCAAAGCCCAATTTGATTCCATCCCAATCCTCCAAGTCACAAAACCCAATCAAAAGCCCCAAGCACTTCACCATGGCCCTCACGCTTGCCACGCCCAACTCCTCTCCATCCTTCGCCAACGCCGCAACGAGGATCTCCGCCGCCTTTCGCGACTTCGGCACCGCGATGCCACCAGGCGGGACGAGGGGGAGGACGATGGCCATGAAGGACACGAGGGCGGAGAGCGCCACGGGGTCCAGCGCCTCGGCGTCGTCGAGGGCGGAGATGGAGGCGGCGAAGTACGCGGGCGGCGTGAGGGGGAGGGACTCGGCGGCGAGGTTGGAGCGCAGGGCGGCGG